AAAGAGGGCGGTTTCTCACCAACTTGCCATGTGCAATCATGTCTCGTGAAACAGGTTTAGGGAATTTTTGAAGCCTCACAAAAACCACTGAAGAGAGGCAATCGTGGGATGAGGTCCACATCCTGGACAAGCTTGGCTGTATCATATCAACATCAACACAACCCCCCCCCACATACACTAAGTAAAATAAGGCAATTTTTACCACCCCACCCCACCCTCTCTTCTCCCCCAAACCTATACAGTGGTACCTCTGGTTACATACTTAATTCGTTCTGGAGGTCCATTCTTAACCTGAAACTGTTCTTAACCTGAAGCACCACTTTAGCTAATGGGGCCTCCCACTGCTGCTGCACCACCGCGACGCGATTTCTGAAACAAAGTTCTTAACCTGAGGTAATATTTCTGGGTTAGCGGAGTCTGTAACCTGAAACGTATGTAACCTGAAGCGTATTTAACCCGAGGTACCACTGTACTGTATACACCCGTAAAGTCTCACATTGAATGAACTGATCTACAGAAACGACTCTATGATCGGGGTGGGGTGGGGGAAGAGACAGTGTACGTAGTTTTGTAACCTAAAAAAACCTGAAATAAAAATTATTTTTGTTTTTAAAAAACCTGTGTCAGTTGGAGCGGGGGTGGGGGGTGGGGGTAGGGCTAATGTCAGTCTCCCAACTGAGTTTTCAGTGCATCTAAACTCAAAATATGACGAAAGCAGGTTGCTGCACTAAGTAAATGACGAGGTGGTGGTGGAACAGAAAGGGGAACAGCATCGGAAGATATCCTTTTTATTTCCCATGCTGAAACCTGCTAAATGCTCTCCCTTCGGCAACAGATCAGTTTGCGGAGTCTTGCTGATGTTAACCACTTTCCACGCTACGAACAGGAGTGATGTTTATTTTTAATCCACCTGTTCAATTATTTGTCATTGCTACGGGCCCCGTTAATTGTCGCTCCGTGCAAAGGCTTTATATTGTAAGAGGACACCCCCTAATATTTTTAATGACCTTAAGCAAAGTGATTGACACACGATACCCGTGTCAGATGTTCTGGTGACGCAATATGTTCCCCTAGTAGCAGGAAAGCTTCCTGCCGTGATTAAGTCCGAGCTATGAAAAGTGCTAAAATGTGTGGTCAGCTTTCCTCTGATGCAAGCGATTTTATTATAGCGTCTGGTAACAGCGGAGTGTAGCAACACAAATACTGACTCTAAACATCCCCTCCCATAGGTATCGCCTGCTCTATTTAAATCACAGCTTCCACTTTACAAGGCCAGGGATCTCAGCTATGAGGGGTATATACGTGTGGGTATATGGATTTTTAAAATAAGCTTGAACAGTGCTGCGCAAGGGATAAGGGGATATTCTGCATTTCGTTATTATAAAATAGCATCAGAACACCTCTGGTTGTGGGAAGCAGGGTTTTTTCCCCCCCAGTAGGAACTCGGGGGAACTGAATTCCCTTACCTTTTTAAAAGACTAAATAATTGATTTTTTGTTTGTTTGCGGGGACTGGAACAGATATACACCCAATGCCTGAGCTGAAAATCCGTCTATATCTGTAAATGATTCTTCAACATCAAATGGTTCTGTTGTGCAGATGCCTGATGATCATCTTCCAAAGCAACTACTCTATTCCGGACAAAAAATTGGAAAGCGTAATGCTGGTGGTCAACAAAAGAGGTTTAAAGACTCTCTCAAGGCAAATTTTTAAAAATGTAACATAAACACCAACAATTGGGAAACACTGGCCTGCGAGTGCTCCAACTGGAGAACAGCCTTGACCAAAGGTGCCATGGGCTTTGAAGACACTCGAACTCAGGACGAAAGGGAGAAACGTGCTAAGAGGAAGGGAAGGCATGCTTGGCAAACCCTCACCGTGATCAACTCCTGCCCGGAAACCAACGTCCCCACTGTGGAAGGACCAGAATTGGCCTCCACAGTCACTTACGGACTCACTGCTAAAACCGTGTTCATGGAAGACAATCTTACTTGGCTACGAGTGATCGCCAAAGAAGAAGATCTGTAATCAATAAAGTTGTGGTCATTTCTAATCTCTAGATCATTGTCTGCTTGAGTTTATTAAACACATCTTACGTTTAGCCGCTGCCTGGGGGTTGGGGTGGGGGTGGCACTGCGATTGGGCCCGCAATAAATGAACAAATGAACTTGGTGGTGAGTTCCTCCCCTTTTTTTTCCCTCAGAAGAAAGGCGCTGGTGGGAAGCAATATATAAACATAAGCTAGCTATCTGTGCATTGATGGGCTTAGGGTTTCATTCATCTGGAAGAAGTAACAATCAGGGGCATATGCTTCGGGGCATGGTTTTGAAACTTGGTCACTGCAGAGCAAGACAGTATTATGTGTGCAATCATTTGAAGGCTGCAATCCTGTGCACACTTACCTAGGAGGAAGCCCTATTGGGAAAAGTAGGATTTCTTCATATTCCACAGAGGACTGGACCACAATCTTGTTTCTATCCAAGAGTGTGCTTTTAAATCATCAACAATATGGCAGCAAAACCTCCATGCCCTTTTGTTTTCTACCATGTAAGATGCCACAACACACATCAAAGGCACGTCCTTCAAATTTATAATATGTAATTTATAATATATAATCTACATATTAAATTGAGCTCCATCCTCAACCAATTCCCCATTTAAAACAGCCTTTAAGCTACCAACCACTGTCACATCTTTTGGCAGTGAGTTCCATGAATGAGTTACAGAAGATAAAGTTCAGCGTTTAAAGGTGAAAAAAGAAAGTTATCCATAGCTTACGAAGCGCTCAGGCCTTCATATCCTGTGAACCTTCCACCTAATCGTAAATTGATAATAATGCTATCTGTGGACTTTTGGTCAGCTTTAACCCAGTGATTTCTGTTATCTTCTTAAACACCCTTTGCCAAAAAAATTGTACATATTTACAGCCCCACCACATGTGAACATAATTCCTCGCTTTGAAGGACCTGCTCACAAATTTATTGACAGCTGCGCGGATTAAGATAGCTAGGAGGTGGAAGGGGCAAGCAGGATATAAAATGGAAGAATGGTGTAAAGAGGTGTGGGATATAGCTATTAATGATAGATTAACATGTGCCATTAAGGTAAGATGGGGAATATTCAGGAGAAATGATTTTGAAGAGATACGGAAGGTGTTTGTAGAATTTGTACTGTTAAAACAGAAAGGGTCAAACCATCGTAAGAGGTGTTGAAATTTTGGGAGGTTGGATAGTTACAATGGAATGGTCGCAGGGGTGGGGTGCACATTTTGATTCTTATTTATTTGTGATTATTACTCTGTCAAAATAATAAATAAATAATAAAAAAGAAGCGCTCAGGCATGGATAAAGACCCTACCCTACCTTTGACGTGCTTTGACCAATGCCAACTAACTGTCCTGGATGGCGCTGTGATTCCTCTCCTGTATGAGATACAGCCATCCAATTCAATGGAGCTGGGATGAGCATCAGAAAGAAAATCCACCTATTTGCAGAGATTGTCTTTGATGGACCGGGGCAAAAAGCTCCAGAACAGGATGCAAATGACTAGGTTCTCTAATGCTTTAGCAGCAGAGATGGTTTATTATTTTAAAATGGAGGGTACAATTTTTAGGAACCATTTTTTATATCAAAACCACCCCAAAGTGCTAAGTATGACAGTGTTATAATAGTTAACTTACAAAAAAAGTCACTTTTTAAAAAAAGCTATAAACATACCTTTCTGTTTACTTTGGGCTAATAAGTACAGAGAGAGCACCCTGTATCTAAACAATAGCAACCCCTCCCATAAAATAATCATTAAAAAAGAAAAGAAAATCAATATTACTCTTTACAAAGTACCACAGATAAACGTCACAGAGACAAAATGGAGAGCCAAGCTGATACCCAAGAATGGGGCTGATGCAGCTATCACAGTTCCTTGGAGAGGGGCGAGGAGCCCCAACTCTACATATGTAAGTCAAAGCCATGTATGACAGTTTTCCTAACCTGCTGCAATCCAGGTGTTGCTGGACTCCAAGTCCCATCATCCCTAGCGACTGGCCATGCTGGCTGGAGCTGCGGGGAGTCCAACACCATCTAGAGGGCAATATGTCAGAGGGAAAAGCTGGTCCATAGGCTTGTCGTCTGTTGAAAAACAGTGCTAAGGAGCAGGTCCCTGGAACCATTGGGTCACATCCTTGATTTTTCTTGATATTCTTCTCCAATACAGTGGTACCTCTGGTTACGTACTTAATTCATTCCGGAGGCCCATTAACCTGAACCTGTTCTTAACCTGAAGCACCACTTTAGCTAATGGGGCCTCCTGCTGCTGCCACGCCGCCGGAACACGATTTCTGTTCTCATCCTGAAGCCAAGTTCTTAACCTGAGGTACTATTTCTGGGTTAGTGGAGTCTGCAACCTGAAGCGTATGTAACCTGAAGCATATCTAACCCGAGGTACCACTGTATTGTCCAAATATTTGCTACATACCCTGCAACATTTCTCCGATGAAAATAGGGACATCCTATTCCATCCCCTCCAAAATATCTCCGATGAAAATGGGGACAGTCCAGTGCTATTTTTCTAGAAAAAGAGGTGCCGGAACTCACTGTGAACGCCTCCCTTGTTCTCTTATATAATGGCAATGGCGCCCACCTGAGAGGTGCCGGAACTGAGTTCCGGCTGGAAAAGCAAACCAACCAACCCTGGGGACATCCTATTCCATACCCTCCATCATTTCTCTGATGAAAATAAGAGTGTCTGTCCTAAGGAAAAGCGGGATGTTCCAGGATCAAATGAAAAACCAGGACAGCTTCTCTAGATCTGTGACTGTCCCTGGAAAATTAGGGACACTTGGCGGGTCTGTTGCTGTTACCTAGGGTGACAGCTAGTGTCTTTTTAGAGCGGAGAGCAGGGAGAGTTCTCCTTACCTTGGAAAGAGGAAAGTAGCTTGTCAAGGCTGCTTTCCTGAGCGATGGCAAGGAGGACGATTTCCAACAGTCAAAGCAAACAAACATGAATTTAACATGGCATGCTGTGCAACTTTTTTATTTAATCCAGAAGAAACACCAGAGCTGGGGGACTTAACTACCTGCAGCTGCTTTGAGGCTACAACTCCCATCATCCCTCAACATTGGTCATGCTGTCTGGGGCTGATGGGATTTGGAGTCTTGTAACATCTGGAGGTCCACGCAGGTTCCCTACCCCGGATTTGCAATGCACAGGAATTCCCGGAACAAAGGAATGATAGCTACTTTTTCTAGTGGAATTTGAAGCACAGAGGCAGCTGTTGAGGGGGGCATTTGACCCTTTCCCTGTCAGCTCCACATAAGATGCAGCCATGGTCCCTTCCAAATTTATGGCAGATCAACACTGACAGGTTAAATAGCCTCTGGAGGAAGGGCAGGCTATAAATTTCTGTCTGTACACCTTGTCCCAAGTTTTTAAGACAGTCCTTCTCAGGAAAGGATCATCAAACCAGGCTTCTCTTCACATGCAGACACATGAAACATGTTAATTCTACCACAAAACAGAGAACCGGCCATTGTGGGTTACCTGGCTTCTGTCAGTTTTTCAGACATGCATTACCAGCTTCCTGCTGCTAACTTTGACCAGACTACGTTTTTCCATCTGAGCCTTCTTACTTGGGTGCTTGGCCACAATTGCACTACAAAATGGAGAGCAACTCCCTCCCACCCCTCAAAGAATGAAAACAATAACATTTGACCGTTGCGATGCAAGTTGGGTAACTGAAAGACAGAAGTCAGCTGAAAGAGAAGAGTAGGAGGACAAAAACCCAACGCAAAACACCAAACCTAGTGCATCTTGAAGCAGGCTTGCGATTAAACAGATACCAAGGACTCCTGAGCTGTTAAGCGTGTTTTAGCTCCTATTTTTAATAAATCCGATTCAGCCATTAATAAAATCCTGCAGCCCAACTGCAAATAAATAGGCTCGTCCGTTCCGCGATCCACCTCTCCCCCCATCCCTATTCGCTTGCAGTTTTGTTCTGTTCTAAGCAAACAGGCTCCTCTGATTTGCCACTAGAGTCGTCTGGCTTTCTCGCCTCTTTGTCTTCTTGCTCTTCTGTCGGATTTTCCAGCACAATGCGCTCAACGCCAGCAAAAGGAGTCCGGAGGACAGTATGACCAGCCCAAGCACGGAGATGATGGATCCATGGGAATTGAAGCTGTATGCCACAGCTGTGACCACCACCCCGGCGATGAGGATCACCACCCCAAACGGGATCGTGCAGCGGTAGCAGGAGAGTTCGGCTCCCCCCGTGGCGGCTGTCAGCCGGCACTCGCTCACCAGAGGCACGGCTGTCACCCTGCAGTCATTGTTGTTGCACTTTTCCAGCGTTGCACACTGAGGACATTTGGAACCTCCCAAGATCTCTTTGATGGGCTCGTCGGTCATCTTGCAACTTCTGGCTGGATTTTGCGCAGCTGGAGATAGACCGGGTGCTGTTGAAAACGTTTCAGCTGTGGAAAGGGGGGAGAAAGCATTGGAATTGGTGAGTGTTTGAGGGTGGCTTTTAGAATGATTCACCCAGACAACGGGGTGAAACTTTGGAATTTCTTCTCTCTGTAGGCTCAACCGCCAACAACAAAGGCTATGCACACATTAGCAACTTGAAATGGTGAAGTACGGTCATTTAATTCACTGAAATTGTAAGTGCTTCCATGCATTACTATGTGCTCAAATTTTGTTGGCAACTGAATTCTACAGAGTTCTCTAGTAGTCCTCATGGGATTGGCTAACATTGGTCACATGAGACCATCTCGTGAAGGAGAGACTCCATTTTATGTGAAGCAAGTGTTTTAGACTCCACTGTGAACACTGCTAAGTTGCATAGTGTGTTGGAGTGCTTCTTCTCAGCTTGAAAGAAAGAGAGCAAAGCTGCAGGAGAAAGTAAAAGAGGAAATCTCTCACAGGAGCTGCAAGGCATGGCCTAACTGAGATACAGAAGACTGAGTGCTGAGCTCTAGAAAGGAAGGAAAACACGGTTGTTTAGAAGCTAGATGAAGAGACTTGTAAGCCCATGCTTGGATGAGCATGTGACTATAAATATTATGTTTTAATTCATCTAGAACAGGCATAGGCAAACTTGGCCCTCCAGATGTTTTAGGACTACCACTCCTATCATCGCTGACCACTGGTCCTGTTAGCTAGATATGATAGGAGTTGTAGTCCCAAAACATCCGGAGGGCCAAGTTTGCCTATGCCTGATCTAGAACGATAAGTTTCTGCAAGTAATGTTTTTGAAAGTCTGGACATTGGTTCAATTCATTTTTGCTACCCTTAATTCAACAGAAATGCAGAGAAGTTGTGTTTCGAGTTGCACTTTTATGTTGATAAAACATAAAACATTGGGTTGGATGTCTCCACCCAATTGCTATAGACCTCAGCTTAACCAAAGCTTACTTATTTGTATCAAATCGAAGCTGGTTTGATTTGAGCGCTGGTTTGATCAAACAGCAATATTTCTCAAGAAACCACAGGATAAATACGGATTGTGGCTAACATCCTGTGTCCACAGCTTCAAACACTGTGGGTGTCCCACTGGAGCCAGAGTAAAATACAGCCCAAGTCTGGAGGTTCATAGTTCCTTGACAGTTATCCTGATTTTTAAAATTTCTCTTTCTCTTAATTTATGAACATATATATCTGCTCCATCTCAGGTCTATAGAAACCAATGCCGTATTTTTGCTTCAAAACTGATAAGCAGAAGTTACCTAAATTTGTCCTTAGAGCGATAGATACATTCACATTTCTTAGACACATATATCTCAGCAATCAACAGTTTTAACACTCAGAGGCAATTTTAAAATGCAGTCTACTTTATCGTTTAAATGAATGAAACTAAAACCCTTATGGCTTCTATATATGAAGAGCATAGCTATGAAACACAGGGAGGTGTTTTTTTTTACACAATAACACATCCAATATAGATGCATTTTTAAAATGAAGCCTATATATACTTCACAACCTTTTTTGCACACTCACATTTCTCATCAGCCTTTGTTCTCGCCTGTTGCATAATAAACTGCCATCACTGCCTAAATCATCAGATATCGCCCGCTGGTCAGGAATAGTTGCCAAATAAGCAAGACCAAAGATTCATTTGCAATTTCCTAGGGCCCAGCAGCATTCAAGCTTGCTTAACTGCTTATCAAGCATTCCTTGCACACACACACACACACACAAAAAAAACCCCACACAAGCTCATTTTCTGCAAATATTAATTCTGATTTCAGATTCTTTGATGGTGAGTCAGAGTGACTGTGGTGCTTGTTGCAGCTGCTTCTCTGTTCACTTCCATTTTAACTTGTTCTCAGAAAAAACCTTTTAAGGCCATTTTGTTTCCACTTAAAAGTGGACTTCATTAGAAAAAACACACCATCCTTGATGAAAAATCTTGCCTTTCTGCGTTGCTACGTGGGATTAGAGAAGGAGTGGTGATCTGACCAATATTAGCTTTTGAGAGAGTTTCTTTCTTTCTTCTTGTTAAAAATGTGGCACGTGGTGGACTTCAAGTTTCTTCATCACAGTGAGTGTGCTGCAAAGTGTATTGCTGCAGGTGATCACCACAAGCTATGTGCCATGTAGATTTAGCAGGCAACAGAGGGAATCTAACTAAGACTTTTGTTAGCACAGAAGGATGTTCCAATTCTATTTTGGACAATTTGGGTTCATATGCCATGTAGTTCCTTTGCCCTTTTATGCCTAGTACACACACCTCTTTTTGGAGAATGGATTGCTGCTCTTAAAGCAACATGATCACCAAGTCTGTTGTCCAGCTGCTAACTTTCAGTGGGCAAATTCAAGAGCCCCGTCCTTCCTTTTTAAGGTCATTTGCCTTTAAAATGGACTTGAACTGGATACAGCAGCCCTTTAAATAGAGGATGCCTTCAAGCAGAGGACTGTGCTCTGTAAAGAAGAACACTGGGCAGGCACCCTTTGTAGGGAAAGATGGTTCCCAGCAAAAATAAACCCAAAACCCAAAGGTTTTCTATCACTTATCCATCCATGATGGAAAGGAATCGCCAAGAATGAGGCTATATGAGAGTCAGGCCTGCAGCCACCTCATTATATCAACTAGCTCACACTTGCAGTGCCATGAAAGCAGCACTCCCCATCATGCAGCTATAACATTACAGGTCTTGAACATGGGACAGTTCAGTCAGCAGAGCATGAGATTCTTGATTTCAGGGTTGTGGGTTTGAGTCCCATATTGAGGTAAATATTCCTGCATTGCAAGAGGGCTGGTCCCTTCCAGATCTACAATTCTATGGTTCTACGACAGCAGTGCTGAGGGATGAGAGACTATGCAAAAAAGGGGGAGGGGCTTCCTTGGCATAGGAAAGAATGTAGGAAATGCACTTGAAAGGGGATGCTCAACTACTGCAATGTGCTCTACGTGGGGCTACCTTTGAAGGTGATCGGGAAACTACAGCTAATCCAGAATGCGGCAGCTGGACTGGGAGCGGCCGCCGAGACCACATAACACAAGTCCTTAAAGACCTACATTGACTCCCAGTACACTTCCAAGCACTATTCAAAGTGTTGGTGCTGACCTTTAAAGCCCTAAATGGCCTCGTTCCAGTATACCTGATGAAGCGTCTTCACTCCCATTGTTCAGCCTGGACACTGAGGTCCAGCACCGAGGGCCTTCTGGCAGTGCCCTCATTGTGAGAAGTGAGGTTACAGGGAACCAGGCAGAGGGCCTTCTCGGTAGTGGCGCCCGCCCTGTGGAACGCCCTCCCATCAGATGTCAAGGAAATAAACAACAATCTGACTTTTAGAAGACATCTGAAGGCAGCCCTATTTAGGGAAGTTTTTAATGATTGAAGTTTTATTCTCTTTTTAGTGTTCTGTTGAGAGCCACCCAGAGTGGCTGGGGAAACCCAACCAGATGGGTGGGGAATAAATAATAAATTATTATTATTATTATTATTATTATTATTATTATTATTATTAGTAGTAGTAGTAGTAGTGGAGCTATCCAGGCATGGACGCAACATATAAAGGGCACCTGGAGGTTGCCCATCTGATTCTTCAATAGATACATCTCTTGGAAATCGTTTTATGGTAGGGATGCCCAAATTGTGGCATAGGTGCCACAAGTCTACGTAGCTTAAAAGGGTCTGTGGGCTTAGCTATGTCATAGAACTAGACCTATAGATTCCTGCGTATCTTTCCAGAGTTACAGCTCAGGAGGCTAGAGGCATCTCAGAACAGAATTGCTTTGGTGTTCCACATATAGTTCTGGTGGCAGTGACCCAGTAGTGCTTTATCATAGGTAAAGGTAAAGGGACCCCTGACCATTAGGTCCAGTCGTGGCTGACTCTGGGGTTGTGGCGCTCATCTCACTTTATTGGCCAAGGGAGCCGGCGTACAGCTTCCGGGTCATGTGGCCAGCATGACTAAGCCGCTTCTGGCGAACCAGAGCAGCGCACGGAAACACCGTTTACCTTCCCGCCAGAGCAGTACCTATTTATCTACTTGCACTTTGACGTGCTTTCGAACTGCTAGGTTGGCAGGAGCAGGGACCGAGCAACGGAAGCTCACCCCGTCGCCGGAATTCGAACCGCCGACCTTCTGATCGGCAAGCCCAAGAGGTTCAGTAGTTTAACCCACAGCGCCACCCGCGTCCCAGTGCTTTATCATACCCTCCAACAAAAATAGGGACATCCTATTCGAATAATAATAATAATAATAATAATAATAATACCTTGCCCATCTTGTACCCTACACCTGTACGTAAGTTCAGTGCACTTACTCCCAGTTAAGGAAGCAGCCCGAGCATCTTTGCAAATGAGAAGGGACAGGGAAATCTGTGTGCTTGTGTTTGGTAAAGCTCTGTCTTTCGACTCCAAAGCACACACACCTGCTTTCCTGTCCCTTCTGCTGCTGCTTTGACAACTTTTATTTCCACAAATTGCCCAGGCAGAGGGAGAAAAGGGGGCACACGGCACCTATTTGGGGTGGCATATTACTTTAGGTAGCTCCAGCTTAGCGAGTGCTAGACTTGACCAGGGTTGCCCAGCTGTCAACAGAGAGATCCTCCTCTTTGCTTCCATAATTAAGAAACAGCAAGCAACCAACACACCACCACCTGTGTCCACCTACCTCATCCATAGGAAGTCCATGACGGCTTGGCTTGAGGAGCCAAGAGATAAACTTGAGGGTATGTTCTGGAAATCTTCACTGGGTTTCCCACCACCACCTCTTCTCCCAAACACCAGAAATAAACCGATTTTATGTGGCTTCCTTTTCTTTTTAAAACCAGACAGAGGACCAGATAGAGAGGTGACCTAGGAAGGAAGAAGATGTGATGTTAGAACTATATAGTTATACGAAGGTACCTTTTATCATATGTGGTGGATGTGCAAAGCAATAAAAAAATTCTAGGAGATGATATATAATGAAATGGGGAAAAAAATGTTTAAAATAACTTTTGTTTAAAAACCAGAAGCCTTCTTAGTAGTTATTACAGGTACCGAGATGCCAAAGGATCAGAAAAGACTGTTTATGTATGCGACAACATACATACATACATCTGCTATTAGCCCAGAAATGGAAGGAAGAAATAACTCCAACCAAAGAAGAATGGCAAACCAAGTTGATGGACTAGGCTGAAATGGCAAAATTAACTGGGAAGCTTAGAAATGAAGAGGACAAAAAATTTAAAAAAAGAATGGGAAAAGTTTACATTCTATTTACCAGAACATTGTAAGCAGGTTAAAATGTTAGCAGGATATTAACCACACTTGTAAACTGACGGAAAGCATGGACAATTTGGAAGGATAAAACTTGGATAGTACAGTATTGATACGCAGTTGTAAATATTACCATTAGGACCCATGGAAGGGATGGAGGGGGGGAGTCAGGAGATTCAGAGCAATCTCAATATTTGGATTTTGAATTGTTTCCTGTTGTATGTTTACATTTTCTAAATCAAACAAAAACAATTATTTAAAAAAGAACTCTATAGTTATACGAACCATTCAACAGCATTCCATGTAAGAAAAGTTCTGTTGCTTCACAGTGGGTAGGAAACACACACTTTTGGATCTCTCCTTCCTCAAATGTGGGGCTCAGGGATTTTCCATAATAAAATACCACTCTGTGAAGAATTCTCTGGCGTCAAATATTGCCAGATCTCCCTCCCACCCACGGGAATTGCCCTGATTCCAGGCTATTTCCAAAACTCAGCAGAACATTTTCCTCTAGAAGTTCACAGAACAGACATCCATAGCTCCACAAGTTCCATTGTTCATGTTGCTCGGCCTTCTATTGCCATCCTTCTTAATAATAATAATAACAACAACAATAACAATTTATTATTTATACCCCACCCATTTGGCTGGGTTTCTGGGCGGATTCCAACAGAATATTAAAAAACAATAGTCTATTAAACACTAAAAGCTTCCCTAAACAGGGCTGCCTTCAGATGTCTTCTAAAAGTGAGGCGAGAAACTCTATCAGGCAAGGCCTTCTTCCACCTGCCTTGCCCCACCCTCCGGCCCTGGGTCTCCTCATAAGGAAGCTATTCCTGGAGGAAGAACTGTGAGGGGAGAGACTCCATCAGGCAAGGCCTCCTTCCACCTGCCTTGCCCCACCCTCCAGTCTCTGCTTCTCATTTTGTATTGTATTATGTTGTGCACTGTGGTTTGCTGTTGTTTTATTGATTGGAGTTTAGAAATCACTTATTGTAACTGTTGAGTTGATTTCTGTTTAATTTTGAAATGCTGATATTTAATATTATTCTATATTGTTTTAATGAATGTTGAATGTTACAGTGGTGCCTCGCAAGACGAAATTAATTTGTTCCGCGAGTTTTTTCGTCTTGCGATTTTTTCGTCTTGCGAAGCACGGTTTCGGAAAAGTTTTGGAAAAGCTTCAAAAATCACCAAAGTCTTCAAAAACCTCAAAAAAGGCTACCACACCGCATGCTATGAGTTGCTCCTCGAAGTCAAGTCGCAACTGTATTAACGGTGTTAAGAAAAAGGAAACAAACTTGCAAGACGTTTCCGTCTTGCAAAGCAAGCCCATAGGGAAATTCGTTTTGCGAAGCAACTCAAAAAACCAAAAACCCTTTCGTCTTGCGAGTTTTCCGTCTTGCGAGGCATTCATCTTGCGAGGTACCACTGTATTTTATTTGCATATTGTATATTGTATTATGCATATTGTCTTATTTATATGATGTTAGCCGCTCTGAGCCCGGCTTTGGCTGGGGAGAGTGGGATACAAATAAAATTCATTTATATTATTTATAAAGTCTGGTAGTTGTTTTTCTCCTTGACATCTGATGGGAGGGCATTCCACAGGGCGGGTGCTACTACTGAGAAGGCCCTCTGCCTGGTTCCCTGTAACTTGGCTTCTCGCAGCGAGGGAACCGCCAGAAGGCCCTCGGAGCTGGACCTCACTGCTCACCATAAAGCTTTCCAAATAATTCTTCCCACAAGCTGCCTTATCTGACAAAGAGATACAGCATGCTTCCAGAAGACTTGTTTATTGAGGGTTCAGCCTGATCTGTTTTCAGGGCAATGAGGCCACGCTGAATAAGAATTCACTCTGATTTGTATGATGACGGCGCTTGAAAGCGAGTGCTAACTCACACTTCCCTGAGCATTGCACCGCCACTGTGCAAAAATCTGATTTTTTGAGGGGAGTAGCAACAGCTTGGAGGCAATCACTGGGAGAACAGGGAACACAGGTGATTCCAGCATTGCAGTGGACTGGACTAGATGGAGTTGGGCCCCTTCCAACTCAACAATTCTATGATTGCCCTTTCCCTAACCACACATCCCTGCAGTAGTTGGAATAAAAGGTTTGCATTTCCCTCTGTGCAGGAAGAAGCCCACCATTGGAGTAGGACTGGGAGATACCTAGTTATCAACATAGCAATGTATCAGATTGAGGTTGAATCCTGACAAGACAGAAGTACTGTTTTTGGGGGACAGGAGGCGGGCAGGTGTGGAGGATTCCTTGGTCCTGAATGGGGTAACTGTGCCCCTGAAGGACCAGGTGCACAGCCTGGGAGTCATTCTGGACTCACAGCTGTCCATGGAGGCGCAGGTCAAATCTGTGTCCAGGGCAGCTGTTTATCAGCTCCATCTGGTATGCAGGCTGAGACCCTATCTGCCTGTGGACTGCCTCGCCAGAGTGGTGCATGCTCTGGTTATCTCCCGCTTGGATTACTGCAATGCACTCTACGTGGGGCTACCTTTGAAGGTGACCCGGAAACTACAACTAATCCAGAACGCGGCAGCTAGACTGGTGACTGGGAGCGGCCGCAGAGACCACATAACACCGGTCTTGAAAGACCTACATTGGCTCCCAGTACGTTTCCGAGCACAATTCAAAGTGTTGGTGCTGACCTTTAAAGCCCTAAACGGCCTTGGTCCAGTATATCTGAAGGAGCGTCTCCACCCCCATCGTTCTACCCGGACACTGAGGTCCAGCACCAAGGGCCTTCTGGCGGTTCCCTCACTGTGAGAAGCCAAGTTACAGGGAACCAGGCAGAGGGCCTTCTCGGTAGTGGCGCCTTCCCTGTGGAACACCCTCCCACCAGATGTCAAAGAGAACAACAACTACCAGGCTTTTAGAAGACATCTGAAGGCAGCCCTGTTTCGGGAAGCTTTTAATGTTTGATGTATTATAGTATTTTAATATTCTTTTGGAAGCCGCCCAGAGTGGCTGGGGAAGCCCAGCCAGATGGGCGGGGTATAAATAAATTATTATTATTATTATTATTATTATTATTATTATTATTATCATCATCATCATCATCATCATCATCACCAGCTAAACATTGTGATATACGGATATATCACTTTGTCTGAAATAAGGATGGAATTATGTAGAGGCAAACACAAACCCATTATGAAATTTTTTTTCTTTCCGCATCCATTCCCCATTTAGTGGCAGCAGCAGGAAGGTGCAGAAATAACACTGACAAGGTTATTTTCTTTTTAAATTACTGAAAATAAATGTGGCAGTCTGTTGCTGCAGATAAAAGGATGTCATATAGAGGAGGGAGAAAGGTTGTTTTCTGCTGCTCCAGAGAAGCGGACACGGAGCAATGGATCCAAACTACAAGAAAGAAGATTCCACCTAAACATTAGGAAGAACTTCCTGACAGTAAGAGCTGTTCGACAGTGGAATTTGCTGCCAAGGAGTGTGGTGGAGTCTCCTTCTTTGGAGGTCTTTAAGCAGAGGCTTGACAACCATATGTCAGGAGTGCTCTGATGGTGTTTCCTGCTTGGCAGGGGGTTGGATTCGATGGCCCTTGTGGTCTCTTCCAACTCTATGATTCTATGATTCTGTGATTCTAAGACCAAGTGTCCCTATTTTCCAGGGACAGTCCCAGAGTTACAGAAGCTGTCCCAGTTTCTGATTTGATCCTGAAATGTTCCGCTTTTCCTTAGGACATCCCTATTTTCATCGGAGAAACGTTGGCAAGTATGGAGCTATGCCATCTGCAAGCCAAGGAGATTAGTAATTATACAACCTTTAGAAGACATCCAAAGTTAGCCCTGTATAGGGACGTTGTTTAATGTGTTATTATGTTTTTATATATGTTGGAAGCCGCCCAGTCAGATGGGCGGGGTATAAGTAATAAAATTATTATTACTATTATGGAACAGAAATGTTGGAGGGTTTGCTGCAGAGGACAAGAGCTTGTTTTAATACAGAAATGCAATTCTCGTAGAATGGGATAAGCAACGCTTGAAAACATTGTTGCCTGTTGAAATAATTAATTACAGTTTCAAGGATGACTTAGCCACAGATATTTCCCATCCTTGGTCAGAAAAATCCCTGAGGTAGTGCTAAAGTTAGATTGCATGGGTCCTCCACAGGTTGTGTCTAGAATACAAACACACACACACACACACAATCATGAAAAAATTTTCATTCCTAACAAACACCCCAGCCCTAAGCCATGCTCCATTGGGTGGCAGTTTAGGAGAGGACCCTGTTTAAATGCAACATGTTTAAGAGATTTTTCAGCCACCTGCGCTTCGACGAGCCAGAACTCAGGGCAGACACTTTTCCGTGACACATCTCAGCCAAGAGAGAGCCAAAGCGATTGTCAACAGGAGCAACAGCTGTGAAACCGCCAGGCAGCCGGGTTAACCTTCTGAACCAGCAAAAGATTTGTTACTAAGCTTACTCGACATTCCTTTGGTACGCATGTGTGGTTGCGAGGGATTGTTAGGGCCATTTCAACACGGCAGCCGGTGCAAGCTGGAAAGGTGTGGGATATTTAAGAGGAAGAGCAACATTCAGCGCCGTGACCGTTAGTAGC